TTACGTTACTGAAGCACTCAGCTCATCAGATTTACTGTAATTAGATACATGCAGACATCTTTGGGGTCTGTTACACTCAGAAGTACATTTGTACGTTTGGTTTTACTCTTCGCAGGTCAATTATTCCCCAGAAAATGCTACTTTTTAGCAGGCAGATTTGCATGTTGGAAAAATCGGGTTTTATGACTATTTTAGCTTATTTCGAAAAAGCGTAGAAACTAAAACCATGAAACTCTCTGCACCAGTGGAATCTTTTTGAGAGGCCCTGCTTTGCTTTTGAGTCAACACAGAAACAAAAAAAGCCAATGGAGCAATCACAACAGTAACTCGGCAGGTGGAGAGATGATGATGAGCCTTTTACTTTAGAGGATAGCAGCAAACATGGAAAAACACACACACACACACACACACACACACACACACACACACACGCGCGCGCGCGCTAGAATTTATGATTACACATCTTCAATCTTACAGAACTGATAAGAACAATAAACCTTAACGTGGCAGCACGTTACACAAAGTGCACCTGCTTGTTTAACAGTAATATATTGTTGATGGTCTATAAAGCAAACTGCTGCTGGATATCTGCAGAGGGACATGAATGATGTGACTGCCAGTGGCGAGGGACGTTTGGTGGATTATTAATCAGCAGGAGTGGAAAGAGAAGCCGTCTCTGCAAATAAAAACTTGTGCACTTCGTGTAGCGAGCAGAAAGCTGAGAGCAGGTGAGGCACAGAGTCGACAGAGATCAGGAATGCTCACAGAAACCAAACTAAATCGAAGACCATTGAACTGGAACAACGTCTGGAATCTGCTGACATCAGAACTGACCTCGCTGTTGATGTCGGCGCCGGCGTCGAGGAGCATCTGTACCATGGCCTCGTCGCCGCGGACGCAGGAGTACATGAGGGGGGTCATTCCCTGCAGGAGGGGAGAACAAAAAGAAACTGTTTAGTGCTCTAAAGTTCGAGTTGTGATGCAAAAACTTATTTAGGTGACATTGATCTTTGTAATTGTCAAAGTTAAAGCTTGCTCTCTTTGTGTGATATTTAAACAGACTAAAACATAAATCTTTATATGACATTTTTGTGAAACAAAAGCTGGATCTAAAGACACTGCAGAGCCTTTGGGTCTCCCAGAATCCCAGCAGGCTCTCCACATTATCCCGCCTGCTCTAGGGACTGTGATCCCTGTGGGATACTTAATAGCCCCTTGTCTTCAATACAGCGTGCTGGAAATCAAAAGAAAAAGATGTGGCTCCTTTAAAAGAACAATTTCCGGCTCCACATTTCTGCTGTAAAATCCCTCCTTCAGTTGGTTCACGGTGGTTTTAGTCATCATAACTGGTCTCCTGGTGCGATCAGAGGTGATCATCCCATATCTCTGCATGCCACCATATGCACACGGCGCTTCAGCCTCTCTCGCCCACACACATTATGCTCAGAGCTGCAGAGAAAAATGTCATCAGTTGTCTCAACAAAACAACAGAGTTCATCCCATTTTTCAGACCCACTGAAGTGTTTGGGATGATGACTTCCATCATATGTCCGATCCGGATCGTTATGCTTAACAGAGGCCTTTTATGACTCGCTCATAACCCTCTGCAGCACTTTGTTCGGAAGATTTAAATCCATCCGTAGTGATTCATCCTTTAACACGTCCTGGACTCGGATCTACTTAATCAGCAGGCCGTTACAGACTCGGATGATCATCGTGATTAGTTCAGATGTGAAGGCAATCTGCAGTTTTCACTTTACTGCTCCTTTAATGCCGTCTGCACCCTTGCTCGGTTCAGACCATGTCACAGAGATTTAAAAGCTCATATGGCCTTTTACTGAATACAAATGATCGTATTACATCCGATCTGCAAAACTGTACTCATTAAATGTGCTTATCACTTATAGTGAGGGTTTAAAACACATTTGAACCTTCAAACTAGGAGGTTTTAGAGGCTGTGAGTAAAAATAATCACCCTGAAGATCCAAGCTAGACCGAACCAGAATGCAGTATTAGCTTCCACTTAGCAGCATGAAGAATCACCGATATTTCCACTGATTGTGGAAGGTAGAAACTCCCTAATGACATTGACATGCGGACGCAGTAAAACAGAGATATCGACTCAACCTGCCAGCGCTCAGTGCAGGAAAAGTGTTGCAGAATCAGGTTACAGCATCCTTTCATCTTTACTCTCAGGATAAACGACGGCCTACATTCTTGGCAGCAGTTTATTTGTCAAAAGCAAGTTTTTAACATTTAGTTTTATTGTAGACAAGTCCGTACAAGATACTGTTCTCTATTCTTGTTTTTGTTTTGCTGGTTCATTCATTCATTTAATCATTTTCTAAATTCTTTTTTATATTTTTACATTTTTTGTTTTTGTGAAGCGCCTCGTGATTTTATCTTGAGAGGCGCTATAGAAAAGATCTTTTCCTCTTCTTCTTCTTCTTCTTCTTCTTCTTCTTCTTCTTCTTCTTCTTCTTCTTCTTCTGCTTCATTCATTAAATCAATCAAATTTTATTTATACAGTGTCTTTCACATCCTTTACAGAAGCAAAGGGGCTGAACAGCACTTAAACAAAATTACATAAGATAAAGATAAAACAGCATTTATAAAACTGATATTGAAAACAAAACAAAATTAAGACCATGATCCATGTTGCAGAAATAAAAACTGTGCTTGAGACGACTTTTAAATATCTGCTTTGATGGAGCCTAGAAGCTCAAAAAGGCTCGTTCCCCCCAAAATGTGTGTGTGTATAATATACAGTGCTAAGCAGCATAAATGAGTCCACTCCACTACATTAGTCAGAAAACCTTTAGTTTCCTTTCAGAATCAACATTTTCTATGAGCTACCCAAGCCCCCACCATGCGGCTCAAAAATTGAGTCCAACCCGGAAGTACCAAAAATTGCAGTTCCACCCTCATCCACTGGGGGCTGGTGTCAGAAGCGAGCAAATCCTCATTGACTCCCATGTTAAAAATACCAATTTCACAGCAGAAATAAACATGTTTACAGCCTGGTACCAAAACATGTTTTTGGTTTAAATGATCTAGTTTACACTCATGACAACTCTGAGTGGGGTGAACTTTTTTCTCACTCTTCTGTTTAAGTGTATTAAAAGCCTAAAATTCTGTATAATTAATGAGCATCAGACCCACGTGACCACAGAGCTAGCTCCTTGGAAAGGCCTCAGTAGAGCCTCGGTCTGGCTTGGAAACTGCTCCGGGATTTTGAGTTTCTGTGTTTGTGTATTCTGTTTTGGATATTTTTTGTGCAATTGTTGGACAAAATGACTTGCTGCAGCATTAATTGCACTAATAGAGCGTCCAAGGAGTCTCCACTTCATTTTTTTCGGTAAGTAAAACTATATTTATGTATTTTAGGTCACTGCCGAGCTGAGCTTAGATTTTAACATGTACTGTTTAACCATGAAATTTAAATGTAATAGGGTAAAACCCAGTGCATTTAACATAATGCTGCACTTTAGAAAATGGGCTGAAATATAACATGTTGGTGGAGCTGGGTTCCGACTATCGGCTTGTGGAGCTCTCGGGAGACCGATGTTTTCCACCCGTTTCTCCCCTCCCCGCAGCTCGGCGCGTCTCTGTCTGATCGCGGCTTCTGTCTGCTGCGCGGGCTGCCGGCTTGTGGAGCTCTGGGATGGAAACCTTTTGACCCGGTTCTCCCCAGCGGCAGCTCTGCGCATCTCAGATCGCAGCGGCGCTTGTCTGCTGTGCAGCTGCCGGCTTGTGGAGGTCTCGGAGACCTCTTTCTTCCACCCGGTTTTACCCAGCGGTCAGCCCGGCGTATCTCTGACTTAGAAGCTCCGGTGTTGTGCACAGTTAACTCCGGTTGTAGCTAGGTTGCTACCTCTGTTAGCTTAGCTCCCACCTCCGCATTAGCTTTGGGATAGCTTCAGATTAGCTTGTAGCTAGTTCGACCGGGTGTCGTCAGTTGATCCCAGCCTTACAGCCCCACCCTCAGCTCCACCTCTCTTCCCTTTTATGGAATTGTCTGGGCTTGACGGAACCTGTGACACGATCAAAATGGCGGTGGTGGCCACCTCCCATTTGGCCTCAAAAACGTGTTATTGGAGCCTAGGGAAACCTATTGTCCAATATTTATATGTCGATGGAGCTACCAAACTACTAATTTGAGTAATGATTGCAACAAGATTTGTTCATTTTCACACACAAAAAAGTGATGTTCGTAACAATTCCATTCAAGCCCATGTTGCAAAAATGAATACACCCAGATTATAGTTTTAGGAGAAAAGCCAGACTTAAGACTATATTAGAATTAACAAGCATTTAACCACAGGTGGTTCATTTAAGAGGTGTCCAGGAGACAGGTGACTATAAAAGGGCTACAAGAAAATCAGCAAAGGTTTACATATCAGTCAGAATACTGTAGTAAAAGTGATCCAAAAAATTAAGTAAGATAGACGTGCAACCATCTTACACAGATGTCCAGGCTATCCACGAAAGTTAACATCTCGACAAGAGCGTCTTCGGATTGAAAGGGTTGAAGAAAATCTTCATGCAAGTCCACTGCAGTTAGCTAAAGCTGTAGAAAGCCAAGCTGGAGTGACCGTTTCCCCTGACACCATACGGCGCACACTGCAGACGAATGGCGTGCATGAGTATCGTCCACAAAGGACGCCTCTTCTAAAGCCTGTGCACAAAAAAGTACGCCTAGGATTTGCTAGGGCCCATGCTGAAAGAGATGAAGACTACTGCGACCCTATACTATGGAGTAATGAGACAAAGATCTCTGTTTTTGCAACCAACAGTTTCAAAACTGTATGGCATTGTAAAGGTGAGGACTTTAAAGAGACATGCATGAGTCCTATTGAGAATCATGGTGGTGGCGGTGTCGTTATTTGGGGCTGAATGAGTGCTACTGGTTGGGGAGCTCCCTTTCATTGATGGTATCATGAACTCAACAATGTACTGAAGGAGAAGATGCTACCATCACTTCGTGCACTTGGTCGTCGTGCACTTTTCCAACATGACGATGATCCAAAACACATCCAAAGCTACTGCTGCATTTCTGAAGAAGAACAGGGTGAAGGTGATTGAATGGCCAAGTAGGTCTCCTGATCTGAACCCAAGTTGAGCATCACTCTCCATCCAGCATCCAGGCACTAAAAGAGGTTATTCTTGAAGAATGGAAAAAGATGGATGTTGCAATATGTCGCCAGCTTGTTCATTCCATGCCTAGAAGACTTGGTGCTGTCCTTGAAAATCATGGTGGTCATGCAAAATACTAGATGTAGTAGTTTTTGTGGGAGGGAGTATTCATAATTGCTTCAACCAATTTTCGTAAAACTGAAGATTTTGTGATCTAATGTATAATAATAATTAATAATATTATTAATTTCATGTTATGGAGCTAAACAAGTGTTCAATAAAACCCAGTCTTGTTAAAAATCTGGAAATTGTTCCTTCGTTCATTTAGCTACTGATTCATACCTTTTAAAGGTGTACTCATTTATGCTGGGCACTGTATAAATAAATAAATAAATAAATAAATAAATAAATAAACATATATATATATATATATATATATATATATATATATATATATATATATATATATATACATCTCTCTCTCTCTCTCTCTCTCTCTCTCTCTCTCTCTCTCTCTCTCTCTCTATATATATATATATATATACACATATATATATGTGTGTGTGTGTGTGTGTGTGTGTGTGTTTGGAAAAATGTCTTATTTCAGACACATGATGGCTTTTCTTTTGGTTGTTTTCCTTTTTCCTTCAGTGTTGACTTGAAGTCTGAGAGATTATTTTTATGACTCAATGAATTGTTTCTATCCTAATTTGTGTTCCAATAATATGTTAAAAATTATGCAGTTTGATGTTCACAATCCGTTGACTAATAACAAAAAACTTTAGCATCATTTGTTTACTTTTGCACTATTTTTCAACACACATGCACATCTGCAATATAAAAACTTCAGTAGCTTTAAAGTTTTTTTCAGGTAAAAAGTGAACACCATTAATATTTTTACTAAAATGGCCCTCAGCACAACTAAACGAACAAATTAAAACTATTCCGCATACTGGACGCAGACACTAACCAACAAAGGGCTGATACTGGACTGTAGAATGACTGCAACTTAAAAAAAAAAACTCCAGATGAAAAAGTTACAAGACAAACTGGGAGATCCCAAGAGAAGTAAATACTTGAACTGATAGATAAGAGAAAGAAGTGGACTTCAGAGACGGAAACCGAGGGAAACACAACAAAACTGGAAGCAAAAGCAACAAAATCACAATTCCAGTTAAAATACAACAGATACAGACCCCAAGCCATGACAGCAGAAGGATGGAGGAATAAAAAAACAACAAAAATCCTGATCCCTTTTTAAAGAATGGATTTAACAAATAAAACTGGGAAGAAATGGTACATCTTTGTGCAGGGAGATAAATACGCCATTAAATATTCAGGAGCTGCCTGTATCTTTGCAGCACAGACAAACAATTACAATAAAACCAACATTTTCTTGAAACTAATCTGAATTATTTGCCTTCTGGGGGGAAAAGGCATAAATATGTATAAAGGGGAGCAGAGGGAGCAGTTTGTGCCCAGTGTGTGTGCTGCTGGTCTGCCAGGTTTCACTTGTTAGAACTTCATAAGTCATTGTGCATCACTTTCCACTTTTTGTGTGTGAGTGTGGGAGGTTGGAGCTGCGTATGTGTGTGTAGGAGGAGTGTGTGTTAGGAGCCAGACCTGCTCGCTCATGCTGTTGATGCCATCGGGCCCCAGCAGGTTAACGGCCTGCTTGACCAGGTCTGTCCGTCCGCAGTTGAGCATCCTGAAGCCCAGATCCTGCAGGAACTTGGCCTCTGTGGAGGCTGCGTCCAACTTTCTGGTGGCACAGAAACAATCTTCCGCTCTGCAGATGCAAGCAGCAGATACATTATCATGATTAAGTGGGAGCTTATCTCAGAAATGGATTTTAGGATCAGTGAGTAATCATCCCTCCCCACCCCACACGCTGAGAGGGAAATTATTGTTTCTTGGCTTTTCACAACCAAAATGAACCACAACTTTATAAGCACCGAGCTGTTTAAATTCAAAGTCAATTATCTGAGGCTGTCAGCGCTCACTTCTGTCGCTTTATTTGCTGCTTTTTTGCAGGTGAGGCTTCCGCCGTCACTCGTCATTTCTCAGGAAACCCCTTAAACGATGCTGCGAACCGCTGTAGCTCCCAACAGGGTCGCTGAGAAACCTCAACATGATATTTATCAAATCCTACCAGACAATTATATCTGGCATTTGGAAAGAGAAGCTAATTGGTTAATTTACACCTCCAGTGTTCCCTTTCATTACTTCCACACAAATATTAGAAACGTGAAATTAAACTCATGACACTGAATCTGTTACTAACTGTGGATAAAAGGAAACGTGGACTTTAAAGGGACTTTACGGAGTTTTGAATTTTTATGCTCGCGATTGCCCCCTCAGGGCCAAAAGCGTAACGGCAGCTTCAATAGTAGGCTCGTGCACGAGGCGCGCATGCTGTACGTGCACACTCCTTAACGAAAATAACAGCTAAGACAGTCCCGTGTGTGTGTGTGTGTGTGTGGCCCGGAGGACAGAGGACAGGAGATCACGCAGCTAATTAATTAAATAATTTGGTTCTGTAGCTTTCTCTTCAGCACAGCTGACAAATGTTTATGATGGGTCAGTCCTCCTGCATGCTCAGATCATTCCCTTCCCTTGCTTGAAAAATTGTTCCAAAATGAAAGTTGAACCCACATCTTTTTTTATCTGTGAATTCAATGCCGTTCGGCGAGTCTAAAAAAAAAATTTGGGCATCTTACTGTAAAAAATATACCATTAATGTAAAAAAGAAACTTTACCTAAACAATATTCACATCCAGAGTCGAACCGAGGTCTTCTACACGTGAGTGTGACATCTTACTAGGTGAGCTAAAGTGCCAGTGACGTCTTTAATATCTGTAGTATTTATATCCTTGATGACAGCTGAAACAACGTTCAAAGAACGGTTCCGAGCGAAAATGGCTATTTTGTTGCTAATTTGCAGGAAATATCTAGAAGAAAGTTCTACAGAAAGTAGCTAAGGGTCCTCAGAAATGTAGCTAGCTTTGTCACTAGGCGTTAGGAACAGCGACAAAGTCGCTGAGTTGGCACTGCCTCTCTCTCTGCTGCTAAAGCTACTGATAGCAAATGCTACGGGCTATGCCTGAGCGTGAACGTGCATGAAGCAGCCTGCTCGACCCGAGCATCTCTCTTTTTCTGTGATTTTACAGAAAAACAGGCAATCACAGTAAAAATGCCAGGGCTCATTCTACAGGACCAGGGCATTGCAGGAGAATGTATGAAGAAGAAATTTATTATTTCTATACATGTTTTGGCTGTCAGACTTCCATAATGCCCCTTTAAAGAGAACAGATTTTTATTGTTGCTGCTGTCCTTTAGATAGGGACAAAAACACTTCATGTAGAATGTTTTTAATTAGACAGAGCAGCTTAACAAGACTGCAGTCATTCTAGCAGCTCATTCAGGCTGTAATGAGCTAATATCTGCATGTTGATGCCTACATCACCTGTATACTAACTATGGCTGTGCAGTTGATGTAATTAGCATTTTAATTTAGACTCAAAACAATCACTAAAACAATCTAAAATGCAAAGAATGATTGTTGTTAGAATAAGTTTGTCATTCTGCTTTGCAAGAATGCAAAAATCACAGAGAAATCAGTATTTTGTTTAGTGAGTCAGACACATTTTGGATTAACTCTAGTAGTTCTCCAGGTTATTATTATTATTATTTTTTTTTACTTCTCAGGCTCCTTTTTTCTGACCTATAAATCATTCAGGCATGAAAAGACTCATTTTTGCCAGCTTGCTTCAAACAACTAAACTTTTTTCTTTTTTAAATTGGACCTGCAGGCTCTTTGTAACCAAAAGCCTGTCACACACACTCAATTTGTTCTAATTTGTTTTGATTAATCCTACAAAGGAGTTGCCCCAAACCAGAGTTTGACAGGAGTTTTTAAGTATTCATCTGCAGGTGTTGAGTCAGAGCTGAACATTTTTCTTATTTTTAAAGCCACACTGTTCACCTGCTGCAGAAATTTGCCATTTCTTTAATACTTCACACACCTCCTCAGAACTTTTTTCAAGGACACTCTATACGTGCTGTTATTTTCCAAGATTCCAGTTAATCGCTGTTTGAGGATCTCCGTGTTGCTGCCAAAGCCAACTCAGGACCTCCAGAGGACGGCTGGATGATTGGAATGTAAAATCAGATTACAGAGACATATTTTTACTAGAAGCTGCAGGATCTCCTTTTGTGTGTGTGAATCATCAGATCTTTCTGATATTAGATCAAACGGACATTTTGCTGATTCAGCACCTCGGCTCTGATGAAGACCGCTGACAATTGTGATTGAAAATGTAAAGAAAGAGAGAGAGTGAATAAGAAAGAGGGAAATCAGTGGATACTGAGGACAGTGGAATAGGTAGGCAGAGCAGAACAAGGAGAGAGTGGTGAAGAAAGTCACAACATGACATGAGAATACTTGTAAAACAACGTGTTTTAGCTCAGTTTGTCGGCTGCAGAAGCACATTAATAAACAAGAAACGTGAAGTTGCCATCTTAAAAAAATGGATCGAGAGACTATTTGTGTAATATGCTTGTCGCGTCAGCCACTAGATGGTGCCATCGGATAAGAGAAATACTCCAGAACGAGACTTAAATATGTTTCGCTTCTCATCTGAAGAGCTTTGTCAATTCTGACTAGAATATGGGAGGGTCAAGCTTATAAACTAGCTGTCTATTGTTGCTTAAGGAACACAAAATACCTATGAATACCCCTCCTTACCTAGCATCAGTAGCCTCAATTGTGTCATCCTTGGATGAGAAGCGAAACATCGCCAAGAAACCAAATAAGTCCAGTCGCCTTCATTCGAACCATTACCTGGTTGACTGAGAGCCTTCACCAGCATTTTCACAGCATTTTGTGGAATGGAGTTCCATTTTTCTGTATCGCTGAATGGTTTTTGCATGAGCACACTACCGATTTTGGCTAAATCCCATCAGATAACAGAAATGAATACAAAAGAAACTTCTTAAAGATAAAAGTTAGTCCTGTACACCCACTAATGGATATAGTGAGATTCACTCATTCTCACTTTATTTGTCGTGGTTCACAGTCCACGCCGGGCAGCAGCAGCCTGGCGGCCTGCCTCACGTCGTCACTGTCAACGGAGAAGCTTCGCCGATGTTCAGTGTGGGCGACTGCTACCCGAATCCACTCCATCAGCGGGGGGAGCACCAGAAACGGTCTGCAGAAGGGGAACATGCTAATGTTACAAATCACATTATTACGATAAATCTCGGCTTTTTGAAATAAAAGTAGATTCATTATAAAATACTCTTTATACCACTCATAAATAAATAAACTCACGTAAGAGAGATGATGGTCTAACAACAGATTTTCCACAAAAAAAACCTAAAGTAATTAAAGATGTCCTTAAAGATATCTGGAAGGCAGGGACACTAAATCAATAAAGATAATTTATTACTTGGACCATTTAGAGCAGGAGGAGCAGAAACCTCCCTAAATGCTGTTATTGCCCTCATTAATCAGGAAAGCAAGCTTGACAGGTTTTATTTTTTTAATCGTTTATTTTAAAAAGTGCATGTTTGTGTTTAATTATACTTTTGTGAATCAATTCATTGCTTTGTTTGATAATTATGTTTTCCTTTGCAAAAAAATCGTGATAAGTCATGTCAATCATTCTGATTTGAAAGCTCTGGGCTTCACTCAGTGAATGTTTTAAATAGATGGAAAAGCACATGAGATGTTGGACTAGTAGAAAAGCTGGAGATGTTTTCTAGAATTTGTATATTTTGCTTTTAAAGTAAACTTCATTGAAATTATTTAAGAACCTATGTACTCTCTGACTGCTTCAATTATTTTGATTTGTTCATTTCTGGACCATCTTTGTCCAAATCAGAATTTAAATATCACCATTTTTGTTCTAGTTGCTCATCAGTTGATCCAAAATTAATAGATTTCCTTTCTGGAAGCTCTCATTCTCCTGAAACTACTTGATGTTTTTCCACATTTCAGTGCTAATTTCATGGTGTAACCCCTTGCAAAAACATATTGAGCCATTTGGAGGGATATTCAGTCATCTACCTTTGGCAAAATGGCTTTTTTAAATATTAGACTTTACTAAAATTGAATAAATCGGTCACTCCAACATCTTGGAAAAGGTTGTGGCTAAACAACTCACAGCTGCTCTTGTTGAACATAACATCTATGATAGCTTCCAGTCAGGTTTTCGTAGAGCTCATTCTACTGAAACAGCTCTTTAGGGTCTCTAATGACCTTCTGACTCACAGTGATGCAGGGGACAGTTCTGTTCTGGTCCTGCTGGACCTGACTGCAGCCTTTGACACTGTTGACCATCATCTGCTACTGGAGAGGCTGAGAGACTGGGTAGGCCTATCAGGATCTGCTCTGGAGTGGTTCTCCTCTTATCTTTTTGAGCGCTCCTTTTCTGTGGCCGTCTCCAAGTTTAGGTCCTCCACCACCTCTCTTACCCATGGTGTCCCACAAGGTTCTGTGCTGGGGCCTCTGCTCTTCCTCCTCTATCTGCTTCCTCTTCAGCACATCCTGCGCTCCTTCAAAGGAATCTCCTACCATCTTTATGCAGATGACATCCAACTGTACATCTCCTTTAAGCCCCATGAGATGTCTAAGCTGCAGCTGTTACACACCTGCTTAGACTCTTATCAAAACCTGGATGGTGGGAGCTTTCTACAGCTGAATGAAGATAAGACTGAGATCCTCATCTGTGCCCCAGACAAGCTGGTTCCCAAAGTCAGAGACTCTCTTGGTCAGCTTGCTTCTCACACCAAACCTTCCGTCAGGAATCTTGGCATGACCTTTGACCCAGCTCTCACCCTGGATTCTCATGTCAGTTCTCTTGTTCGCTCTTCCTTCTTCCATCTCAGGAACATTGCTAAGCTGAGTCCCATTCTGTCCCGCTCTGAACTTCAGACAGTTCTCCACACCTTCATCTCCTCACACTTAGCCTACTGTAACTCTTTTCACGTGTCTGAGCAGAACCTCCCTGAACCGTCTACAGGTGGTTCAGAACGCCTGTGCTCGGCTTCTGACCAAGTCCTCCAAACACACCCACATCACCCCGCTTCTCCTCCAGCTTCACTGGCTGCCAGTCAACTTCAGGGTTCATTTCAAGATCCTGGTTCTGGTCTATAGGGCCTTACATGGACAAGCACCATTTTACATTGGTGATCTTCTTAGTCCCTACACCCCCAGCAGGTCCCTGATGTCCAGTGATCAAAGCCTACTGGTTGTGCAGCACCAGGCTAAAGGTCAAAGGTGACAGATCATTTGCTGCTGTGGCCTCCAGACTCTGGACCTCTCTCCCCCTGAGCCTGAGATCAGTGGACTCAGTGAACCCCTTTAAAAAGCAGCTGAAGACTCACCTGTTCAAGCTGGCTTTTGTATGACCTTCTTCACCTCTCTCTCTTTATTCTGCTCTCCCACCTATTCTACCTTCCTCAGGATCCACTGATTTCCCTCTTTCCTGTTCACTCTCTCTCTTTCTTAACATTTTTTAATCACACTTGCCTATTTTTGCTCATTTTAAATATATTTTTAAACATTTTCTAAATGCTTTTTTATATTTTTACATTTTTTTGTTTTTGTGAAGCGCCTCGTGATTTTTATCTTGAGAGGCGCTATAGAAATGATATTTTCTTCTTCTTCTACTTATCAAAGGCTTTTTTCTTTGCTTCATTCACTTAAGCTTGAGTCATGTTTCTCTATCAGCTTCAAAAGGGAGAGACACGCACGGACGGAGACGTTTTGCCCACATACTTGGTCTCCTGGGGAGTGTTGCAAAGCAATTCCCCGCCAGGACAACAGAGGGCGTAGTGCTGTTCTGTGGTATCCTGTCACGTATCCGGTCCAAGATAGTGTGTTTATATTGAGGTTTTTTTTTGTCAATAAGAGACTTTTTAACACAGACAAATTTGTCTCTCATTCTCCTCCACCTCTTCATGCGCTCGCCACCTCTGAACCCACGTTTCCTGTCACTTCCGTCCACAAATAAATTGTTTGCTGCACATCTTTTCACTCCTCCAGTCACGGGGAATTAAACGTTCATGTTTTTACAATTTTTTTCGCGAGGTGTTCTTCAAGCTTCTCCATGTCTGCCGCTAGTTATCCTCGGCTCTCTTTATGTTTTTGAGGGCGCAATGGCGGCGGTGTAGACGACAGCAGCGTCCTGACCAATCACAGGCTTGTGTTCTCTGTCTCGACAGATGGATGTTTAGAAAAGAGAGCTCGACTCCGTCCGTCCTTGCGGGGGCTCTCCAGCAGGCCCGCAAGGACGGATAATGGCGTTGCGTGTCTCCTCCTCCAGCTTAAGGTTTTATTACGAATATTGAGCTTCATTTCCTCCCTGCTTGTGTCCACCTATCGTGATTATGTTCTCATGAACTCAGCTGTTCAAAAATCACTATAATAGATTTAGGAGTGTTTACAACTCCCTAGACAGAGCTTCTGATGGCAATAGAACAGAATCTTTCCCTTTTAAACGCCGGTCTCAGTTTCACACGGAGAAACCTTAAAATATGTTGTGTTAAATCATGTGACAACTATAATAAATATAGTCCCTTTGGAGTGTTTCTGCCATTATGAGCCTCTGGGGAGTCTAATTTCTGTAAAAGTGCAAAGAACACAAAAACATACCCAGCTGAGACCAGCCATCTGGGGCTGTTGTGTTTGCTATCTAAGCAGCTGTCTGGTCCTTCTGTAAATTTCCTGCAAGCACATGTTTAATTACCCGAGCAGCTTTAGATATTGATGCTTGAATCTGAACTCCGGTGGTTTCTAAAAGTTCTCATTGTTCGTTTGGTGGTAACCAGTCTGACGAGGCTCTTGTTTCCTCTGAGGAGGAGATTTAACTGATGTTTGCTACCAAACGGGCATTTTTAGAGTTGATGGTGGCCCAGTTTGGTTTGCAAACACTCGGGGTAATGCCATCCGCTGATAAACAGCAGCAGCAGGCCCGCAGCAGCAACAGTGTGAAAGGGTAAACATACAGCTCAGATTGCTGAATTTGCCAATAAACATACAGCAGCTCGTTTACTAAACCACCTTTTCCCCATTCTCCATCTTCATTAGAAACATTTAACATCTGTTGGATCTTCAGGGTTTCTCAGAAGCTTGTAAGAAGGTTCTAAAAGCCCTGAAAAGCAGTTTTATCTCATGTAATCATCCTTCATCTCCTCCTCCTCCTCCTCGTGTCACAGCGTTATTCAGGTTCTCTCTGCTCGTCTTCAACCTTTCAGCAGAATGCTAAATAGAGTTTTGTCTCTGGGGTGGGGAAGCCTGCTGACACTGTCACTCCTGTCATTCCTCGTGATCCCTGGGGTCTTCAGGATGGAGTTTTATCTTTTCAGAGAGGAGAAAAGGATGTTGGAATATCTGTCCATCTGTCCATTTCAGTGAACTCCCTCGCTGGTTCGGAAAGTGTCAGCACTGACCAGCCCACGCAGCATCTTATGAGATTGCTTGTGGGGCAAATAACTTGAGCAACAAAGTAGAGATGTATGTAGTTACATTTGTGTGTGTGTGTGTGTGTTGTGCTCATCTGACTGAACTCTGTAGCACCAGGTAGACTCACCTCTCTGTCTGTAACGTGACTTTGGACGGCTCCACATTGGGGTTCTCCCATTCCATCTGCGGGCAGTGCATGAAGTAACACAGGGTGTAGAGAGCTTCGGGCTCCCAGTGGACCGTGGTGTTGGTCTTCTGATGAACCGGAGTCCCATTGCTTGGGTTCTTGATGTGCAGTGGCTGGAGGAGGTGCATGGCCCGGGAGACCAGATCACCTAAGAAACAGCCATACATGTTGTTAGTGGAAACTCGTTAAAGGATATTTTGGCTGTTTAGAAGTGTTGATGTGTAAAAGTAGCTTTAGCAGGAATATTAATAGCTTTCTACATGACCTGACCTCCGGGGGGCTCTGGATGTGCTACATTTTTGCTGCTAGTGACAATATTTTACACATTTAAACAAAAGCTCATGCATATGGCTCTGATTAGGGAATATATAGTTAAACAAAACATGCTACACATTATTTTAGGAGTTTTATGAGGTTAGGAGTTTGTCTGTTAATCGATGGTTTGCCAGCTTGATCCCCAGTCTTTAACTTTTATCTATTGAATAAAGGTTCAACTGTAACAACTGCCAATATCCTACCATGCGTATTGCAATTAAAAGTTAACCAGACAAATACTTATACTACACTATACTATACAATACCGTACTATGTTATACTATATGAATAATCTATTATTAATTGTCCACAACATTCTTGAAGCCACACTCAGGTTTATAGTAATTGTCCCCCGCCAACTTTAAAGACAAACAGACACCCTTGGCTAAGATCAAATGGGAGCGGCTGTGAAATTGGACGTCTAGACTTCTAATTTATTCCCGTTCCTTTCTCAGCATGTTCTACTGCCAAGCAACCATAAAACCAAACCTGGTGGCATTGCATGTAAAAATACTGGACAAGTCAAACAAGCTTGTTTCTGAGGATTTTTCTTTGTTTTTCTCAATGAAGCCGTACCACGTCATCATGCACCACGTCATCACTCACCACGTCATCATGCACCATGTACCACGTCATCATGCACCACGTCATCACTCACCACGTCATCATGCACCATGTACCACGTCATCAAGCACCACGTCTTCATGTACCACGTCATCATGCACCACATCATCAAGTACCACGTCTTCACATACCACGTCATCATGTACCACATCGTCACGCACCACGTCATCATGCACCACGTCATCATGCACCACATCATCACGCACCACGTCATCATGCACCACGTCATCACGTACCACGTCATCATGTACCACGTCATCATGCACCACATCAAGTATCACGTCTTCACATACCACGTCATCACGTACCACGTCATTACGCACCACGTCATCACGCACCACGTCATCATGCACCACCACATCATCATGTACCACGTCATCAAGTACCACGTCATCATGCACCACCACGTCATCATGCACCACATCATCATGCACCACATCATCACGCACCACGTCATCACTCACCACGTCATCACGCACCACGTCATCATGCACCATGTCATCACGCACCACGTCATCATGTACCACGTCATCACGCACCACATCATCACGCACCACGTCATCACGCACTACATCATCACGCACCACGTCATCATGTACCACGTCATCACTTACAACGTCATCACTTACCATGTCATCATGCACCACGTCATCACGCACCACGTCATCATGTACCACGTCATCACTTACAACGTCATCACTTACCATGTCATCACGCACCACGTCATCACGCACCACGTCATCATGCACCACATCATCATGCACCACATCATCACGCACCACGTCATCACTTACCACGTCATCATGTACCACGTCATCATGTACCATGTCATCACGCACCACGTCATCATGCACCACGTCATCATGTACCACGTCATCATGCACCACATCATCACGCACCACGTCATCACGCACTACGTCATCACGCACCACGTCATCATGTACCACGTCATCACTTACAACGTCATCACTTACCATGTCATCATGCACCACGTCATCACGCACCACGTCATCATGTACCACGTCATCACGCACCACGTCATCACTTACCATGTCATCATGCACCATGTCATCACGCACCACGTCATCATGTACCACGTCATCATGCACCACATCATCACGCACCACGTCATCACTCACCACATCATCATGTACCACGTCATCATGCACCATGTCATCACGCACCACGTCATCATGCACCACGTCATCATGTACCACGTCATCATGCACCACATCATCACGCACCACGTCATCACGCACTACGTCATCACGCACCACGTCATCATGTACCACGTCATCACTTACAACGTCATCACTTACCATGTCATCATGCACCACGTCATCATGCACCACGTCATCACGCACCACGTCATAATGTACCACGTCATCATGCACCACGTCATCACTTACCATGTCATCATGCACCACGTCATCACGCACCACGTCATCATGCACCACGTCATCACGCACCACGTCATCATGCACCACGTCATCACGTACCACGTCATCACGTACCACATCATCATTTATGACGTCATCATGCACCACATTATCATGCACCACATCATCACTTACCATGTCATCATGCACCACGTCTTCACGCACCACGTCATCACGCATCACATCATCAAGCAACGTCATCACTTACAATGTCATCATGTACCACGTCATCACTTACCACATCATCATGCACCACCACATCATCATGCACCACGTCATCACTTACAACGTCATCATGTATCACATCTTCACTTACCACATCATGCACCACGTCTTCATGCACCACGTCATCACGTACCACGTCCCCAAGTCAGTCTATTTAGAGAAGTCAGACTCAACATTCACCGCTCAGTCATCGTTTCAACCCACAAACTTGGCATCAAATGGCTTCCAACCCATTCAACTGACTAGTTAGTAATTTTATCTTCTTTCCTGAAACACCCAGGTATTCCTAGAGTAACCGCGTGTCTGTCAACTCCCAAGGCTAGTACCTCCGTATGTGGGTCAGCCTTACTCGCCGCAGAACTGACTGCTCAGCCTAGCTTCCCAGGTTCCATCCCTGACGCTATTAGCCTTTATGAATGTTGGGAGTCCAATCACCTGGTCTCGGATGCTAATGAATACGCTATTAACAGCATTACAACTGACCACATCTTCTGTTTTATGCAATTTTATTTTCATCATGTACCACGTCATCACGCACCACATCATCACGCACCACGTCATCACGCACTACATCATCACGCACCACGTCATCATGTACCACGTCATCACTTACAACGTCATCACTTACCATGTCATCATGCACCACGTCATCACGCACCACGTCATCATGTACCACGTCATCACTTACAACGTCATCACTTACCATGTCATCACGCACCACGTCATCACGCACCACGTCATCATGCACCACATCATCATGCACCACATCATCACGCACCACGTCATCACTTACCACGTCATCATGTACCACGTCATCATGTACCATGTCATCACGCACCACGTCATCATGCACCACGTCATCATGTACCACGTCATCATGCACCACATCATCACGCACCACGTCATCACGCACTACGTCATCACGCACCACGTCATCATGTACCACGTCATCACTTACAACGTCATCACTTACCATGTCATCATGCACCACGTCATCACGCACCACGTCATCATGTACCACGTCATCACGCACCACGTCATCACTTACCATGTCATCATGCACCATGTCATCACGCACCACGTCATCATGTACCACGTCATCATGCACCACATCATCACGCACCACGTCATCACTCACCACATCATCATGTACCACGTCATCATGCACCATGTCATCACGCACCACGTCATCATGCACCACGTCATCATGTACCACGTCATCATGCACCACATCATCACGCACCACGTCATCACGCACTACGTCATCACGCACCACGTCATCATGTACCACGTCATCACTTACAACGTCATCACTTACCATGTCATCATGCACCACGTCATCATGCACCACGTCATCACGCACCACGTCATAATGTACCACGTCATCATGCACCACGTCATCACGCACCACGTCATCATGCACCACGTCATCACGCACCACGTCATCATGCACCACGTCATCACGTACCACGTCATCACGTACCACATCATCATTTACAACGTCATCACTTACCATGTCATCATGCACCACGTCATAATGTACCACGTCATCACTTACAACGTCATCACTTACCATGTCATCATGCACCACGTCATAATGTACCACGTCATCACTTACAACGTCATCACTTACCATGTCATCATGCACCACGTCATCACGCACCACGTCATCATGCACCACGTCATCACGCACCACGTCATCATGCACCACGTCATCACGTACCACGTCATCACGTACCACATCATCATTTATGACGTCATCATGCACCACATTATCATGCACCACATCATCACTTACCATGTCATCATGCACCACGTCTTCACGCACCACGTCATCACGCATCACATCATCAAGCAACGTCATCACTTACAATGTCATCATGTACCACGTCATCACTTACCACATCATCATGCACCACCACATCATCATGCACCACGTCATCACTTACAACGTCATCATGTATCACATCTTCACTTACCACATCATGCACCACGTCATCATGCACCACGTCATCACGTACCACGTCCCCAAGTCAGTCTATTTAGAGAAGTCAGACTCAACATTCACCGCTCAGTCATCGTTTCAACCCACAAACTTGGCATCAAATGGCTTCCAACCCATTCAACTGACTAGTTAGTAATTTTATCTTCTTTCCTGAAACACCCAGGTATTCCTAGAGTAACCGCGTGTCTGTCAACTCCCAAGGCTAGTACCTCCGTATGTGGGTCAGCCTTACTCGCCGCAGAACTGACTGCTCAGCCTAGCTTCCCAGGTTCCATCCCTGACGCTATTAGCCTTTATGAATGTTGGGAGTCCAATCACCTGGTCTCGGATGCTAATGAATACGCTATTAACAGCATTACAACTGACCACATCTTCTGTTTTATGCAATTTTATTTTAGTACCCTCTTTTATTGACCATATGATTATTTCTTCCATTGTAAGTTTGGTTGTCATTTTGCATTTTTTGCATTTCATTGAACCCTTGGTGAGTGTCTGTCTACCCAATTATGAAATTCACATTATGACCAAAGTTATGCATCA